GCGTTTTGATTACTGGTGCGACTGGACTTCTTGGCCGAGCCGTGTTTAAAGAATTCAATGGCAACAACTGGAATGCAGTGGGCTGTGGATACAGGCGAGCACAGCCCAGGTTTGAGCAGGTCAATCTTCTGGACTCTATTGCAGTTCATGACATTATCCATGATTTTCAGGTAAGTTTCTGGAATACAAAATAGATGAAGCAGATAATATATTTCAGTATGTCAGCTTAGCGTAATCTCTCGTACTGTTTCTAACTTGGGTGGGACTAGTGTTGTGGCTCTAGTGTTGAGGCCGCTGCTTTTTCTGCCCTATCTAGGGTATAGGTTTACTCTTTGAATGCAAATTTGTTTTGAACTTCCCTTATTGTGACCACGCATGCAGCAGGTACCTCGACGCATGTTTCACCACGTGCATTGGGAGCTGAAAGGAAAATATAGATGTGTTAGTATGGAGTAGTTTTGATGTTGAAGAACACATGAACACGGTATCAGTACTTGGATATTTTGCTTGCAGTACAGTAAAAAAAATTGTTTTCTTAAACAAACTTACAAGGGAAATACTTAAAACCTGAACTATAATAAGCAGGGAACCACTCTGGAAAACAGCTTTGAATATCTTGTTAATAGTCTGTATATGCTATGTAAATGGTTTGTCTAAAAGTAGTTTAGGTAACACTCTTTGGTATGATTTTATGTGGCAGTATGTTATTGTTTTTCCAAATTTTTCTATTATGCTGAGTTAAAAAAACTTTAAGTTTGAAGTTACTGAAGATCATGATTACAAAACTAATGATCCAAGCTTTTTCATTATTTTAATATGAAATATTGAGCTAGCTTGATTCTGTTTAATTTCCTAAGCAAAACATGCTTCTTAATGCTATGATTAAAAATAAGGCTACTTGTTGTATTGCTTGTCGCAACTTATTCAAATGTGTTTTCCTCTGAGAGAGCCTATGTCGCGCGTTAGGGCATAACTGTCATCTTTTGATCATGTTCCTGGTTTAAAGCAAGTCTTGCATTTCCAGCCTCACGTTATAGTGCATTGTGCTGCCGAGAGAAGGCCGGATGTTGTAGAGAGTCAACCAGATTCTGCTTCTCAGCTCAATGTGGCTGCTTCAGGCAACTTGGCAAAAGAAGCAGGTAAAGAGACCACCTCGTAGATTTATTTTCCTGTCAAGATATTGCACCCACTGACACAAGAACATAAATATGAATAGTTGCTTAAAACGCTAAGTGTCATTTCCACTAGCAGTGTGTATTCTTTCCTTTTCCTGTAAGGACAGTGGCAGGTAGAAGTGAAGGGTTAGGGAACAGACAAGCAGACGGAATGAGCAGGGCTGCTAGGACATGAGGTTCTTTGGGGCTGTAAGATTTAAAGGTTTATCAAGATTTCCAACAAGACATGAATTAAGACAGCCTCCATTTGAACGTTTTCTTCCCAGCTGCAATTGGAGCGTTTCTGATCTACATCAGTACAGACTATGTATTTGATGGAACAAGTCCTCCTTATAAAGAGACCGACGCACCGAATCCCCTGAATTTATATGGTAAAACAAAATTGGAGGGAGAAAAGGCAGTCCTAGAAAATAATGAAGGTAAGAATACACTTGGAAAATCTTTATCATCTTTCTTCTCTTTTTTTTTTTTTTTTTTCCCCCCCTCTTCTTGTGTTAATGAAAGAGTGCACTGTGGGAATTAAAGGTATAAAAGGAAATGAATTCATATAAACTTACTGTTTGGAAATTGAGTTGAACTCAAAATGATCATTTGAGAACAAACATAGTACTTGTACAAACTGAAGAGAAAATACATGTCTAATATCACTAAGACACTTCTTAATACTTTTGAAACATCCTTCAGGTGTTAGGTTACAGTATTCACACCTATTCATAACCCTACTAATTCTCCTAAATTATTATTCTTTTCAGATGCTGCAGTGCTTAGGATTCCTGTCTTGTATGGAGAAGTAGAAAAACTGGAGGAAAGTGCCGTGACTGTTATGTTTGATAAAGTCCAGTTCAGTAATAAATCAGCCAACATGGACCACTGGCAGCAAAGATTTCCTACTAATGTAAAGGATGTAGCAGCTGTTTGCAGACAGCTAGCAGAGAAGAGAATGCTGGTAAGAAACTGAAGAAAGAAGCTTCTTAGAGCTAAAAACAGTTTTTAGCTTTGCTTCTGAGAACCTGAGGGCTGTGTGCAACCTGTATTATTTTTCATATTTCTGAAACACTTTAGAAGGGGTAAAGAGAAACAAAATATTTGCAGCACAAGAAGACTTTCCTTTTCCGTGACTTCCATGGTGTTTCTCTGGTGTTTGAAAGAAAAGTGGGTAGAGTGACAGGAGAGATCAGTCTGATAAGTGTTATGTTTCTTTTAATATGCAGGAGAGATGCAAATACTGAGCCAATGCTAATATCATTTTTTGGTCCAAAAAAAAGAATTTGCACAAGGCATATTTCAGTGATTGCGCACAAGATGTCCTAGAATGTTTTCTTAACAAAATTCAAGTAGTCAACCTGAATACTTCAAGATCACTATCTTTGTGAGGCAGGAATGTACTTGTTATTCCTGAGTGGTTTGCCAGGTTTAATTTTCTTTTCATAAAGATAATCTTTCTGCTGTATAAATGGTGTTTAATAAAACCACAATTATCACAGAATCACACAATGGTTGAGGTTGGAAGGGACCAGTTATCTTACGCACTGTCCCTACTTCATACTAGAGAAAACAGAAGTCTGTAACAAGTGTAACTTTTCAGCATTTTTGAGAAGTGATTATCTAAAATAGGATTTTAACTTTCGAACTGTGCACTAGCAAAATTATGCTACAGTCAAGTGGCTGGTTAATAAAGATAATATAAGGTGTACTTTGAAAATATGCAAGTCGTCTCCAGAACGTCTCCATGATTTGTTTTGACGCACCCGTCAGAAGCTTATTCTGACCCTATTATGGCCCAGAATTGGTCAGAGAGGCAGCTTCCTTCATTCACATGGGATTCTTGCTTCTTCCTAGGACCCATCAATAAAAGGAACGTTTCACTGGTCTGGTAATGAGCAGATGACTAAGTATGAAATGGCCTGTGCGATTGCAGATGCTTTCAACCTTCCCAGCAGCCATCTGAGACCTGTAAGTGGTGTGTGCAAGCTGTAGAAACATGGATGTACTTAGTCATTGAAGCAGGAGTAGCTATACAGGCAAGTTTCCTCTTCAGGATAATCTGGATGTTCAGCACAGCACGTGTATTGCTGAGGGCACAGTTTGGTAACTAACCCAGGACAACAAAGGCTACTTGCACCTGCTGGGTTATGAAAATTACTTAGTCAATTGGATTTTCAGCCTTTGTTGTTCTGCAGAGATGATGTTACAGTTCCCCCTCATCAGTGAATAAGGATATTCTGCTTGTTTTTGTTTTTTTTTTTTTTTTCTTCTTCCTTAAGCCTACATATTTACAGAATATTAATTTGAAGGTAGGAAACTGAGAACTTCTCAGTGTCCAGATAATGCTTGAATTCATGTGCTAAAAATCCCCAGATCATTTTGCATTGCTTAAAACAGACAATTGTCCTGCAGTATTTACACTCAAAATGATTAATTTAAAAGATATAGAGATGTTATTAAAATTTAACATTATATTAAAAATTTTATTTGGATATACATTCCAAGGATTTTGGAAAATGGAGACAAAAAGCTTGGAGAACCCTGATTTATCCCTGCTCCTCTCCTCCTTCCCAATGAAATGGTCCAAGTACATTGATTAAGGCAAGACTCTGTCAATATTTTTACAGTATGTTTTGCCTCTCGAGTGTGTTTTTAGGCCATTCATAGCAATAAAAGGTAGAGAAGCACAGTCAGTGAGTGGCCATCAAATGACGAAACTGAAATTTAACAGACTGTACATCCTTGTGCTGGACACATCTCTCTGAAAAGGAAGTTAGTCATAAAACATGCAGTCATAAAACATGCACAACAAACCCAAATGGAAAACGGTGAATTGAGAGCTTTGAAATGAGTTGTTTTTCCTGTAATTTTTTGTTGTTTTTTTATTTGTTTCTAAGATTACTGATAGCCCAGTTGTGGGAGCTCTTCGTCCGAGGAACGCTCAGCTAGACTGCTCCAAGCTGGAGATGCTGGGGATAGGTCAGAGGACACCGTTTCGAGCTGGGATCAAAGAATCGCTTTGGCCTTTCCTCATTGACAAGAGATGGAGGCAGACGGTCTTCCATTAGTTTGTAACTTTTTTAGTAAAAGTATGTTAATGTGGCACTTTTTTAAAAGAAAAAAAAAGAATAGTTTTGTATGAGTGTTCTTAAATTGTGACATATACGAGTTTTCATTTAATCAGGTAAACATACGGTCTTGCACTAGTGAAATTGTTAACCTAAAAAAAAGTTCAGTGACAAAAACTGAGCCTGTTTCAAGTCATGAATTTTTCCTTCCATTTGTATCAGTCTACCTTGATATCTATTCCTAGTGAATTATGGTTTTGGTCATCGGTATCATTTGATACTTAAAGGCTTGGATCACCTGTAGACTTCCTCTTGACTAATATATATACCGTTAATGCTTAAGGTCTGTGCTATTGTTATATATACAGTTTCTCTTCATTAAAAGCCTTGGTTAGTTATGTTATCACCCAAAATCCGTGAGCTTTTAATTTTTGAAGGTATTCTATTGAAGTTAAAATAAATCATTAAACATTTGTTTTGCTTGAGCTCTGATCAAAATGTTTTTAGCAAAGTGAGACTTTATTTTTGCAATGATCAAGTGTACTTTTTATGCCTGAAATATTTTCAGAATGTTCTGTATTTGAATACCTGCATCTTCATATTTGTATAATACATGATATGCGTTTGTTTTAATGGTGACTTAAATAACAGGAGACGGTGGGGAGCAAATAGTTCTGATCTTTCGGCTTTAGTTTAGTTCACTCATTTAGAGGGGGAGAGGGAGGTTTTGTTTTTTTTCTTTAGGGTTGTTTTTGTATAAAAACATGAAGTATCTTCTTTTGAGTGGTAATATTTGAGGGGATCCCCAATGGTAGGAAGATGTTGCTAGTCAGAAGATACAAAGAACTGAGGAAAGGCATTTCAAGAATTTCTAGCACTGTAGCTTCTTTTGCACACTCCTCAATCTTGCACTAAGGCAGCTTATTCTGTAGTGGCGAGTTAGGTATGTTGAAGGTTTGTACCATAATAATGTAACCACAAGTCTATAAGGAAATCTTAATTTTGCTCAAGGCTGGTCTTCAATTTTGGACTCAATTCCGAGCTAAAATGGAAGTGAACAGGCTTTTTAAATGTTTTAACCTCCATCTGAAGTTGTTGGAATCAACAATGTAAATGCTCCGAGATTGCCAGCAGATCACTAGTAAAACTATTTTTGGTGTTTTGAAAACTTTCTATTTTTCTGAGATTGAAGTGGGGGAGGAGGGGAGAAGCGGGGGAGAGGTGGGCATTTAGTAAAAAAGGGCAGAAACAGACAAACTCTACAAGACAAGCTGTACAAGCTGTCTTGTAAAGGTCAGCTTTCAATTTGGTTCTTTTAAATTACAGCTAGCATGTAGTAAGAGTTCATAATCCTGATGTATTTCTTAGTCTGAAGTCCAGATGCACACATGGTAACCCATCTCCAACAATTACAATAAATATGTATTGCCAGCATCAGAAACAGTTGTTGATTCTTTATTTCCTGTAATAATTTGTTTACTTTGCCACAAATATTTGTAGTTCTTACGGAAATCTGTGCCCTTTCAATGCTGTAGATTTTTTTTTTCTTTTTTTTTGTGCTTTTAGTTCTGTTAACTTACTCCCAGGGTTAGATTAGGGGTTCTCTATCAGTGTGCCACTGCTTTGAGAACAAAATGAATGCATGCACAAAAACGGTACAGAAGATTTTGAAACCGTGAGCCTGACATTTTCTGTGCCCAAACATGAATGTTTGTAGCACATCCTCTCCACCTGCAGGCAACTAACTTCTTACATTAACCTTGATAACTTTTTAAAAACTGAAAGTAAATAGAGACGAAAAATTCTTAGCAAAGAATTGTTTTAATGGATAATAAATGCAGTGTGGATTTTTACGCATATTTAGAATGAACACTCCATACTGCCTTGTGAGGAAGTATCTTCATTAACTCAGGATCCAGCTTAGAAACCTACTCTGGTATATTTGTCTTTTTCTGAAAACATTGAAACTAAGTATTTCACAAGGAGGTTGTTAGAGTACTTCCCAAGTGTTCCAGCTATTCATTCCATGCAGCTGGAGTAGGTTTGCTGGCACTGCAAGTGTTACTTTCAATCGAGCAGTTTTACTAGGAAAGGAAAAGATGACTTCTTAGTGCGTCCCTCTGAAATGTAAATGTCCTTCTGAAATGTAAAGCATTTCATAGGCATGATTAGGGCATTTTGCTGGGAAGGAGAAAATTGCAATGTGGATTTTTTTGTCCTCACATGAGGAAATAATTGAGTCCAAATGTAAATTCTGTAAGCACTGAGCTGTCAAATAAAATTAAATCACTTACCTTCCCAGTTGTCCTTTTCTGTTTGTTAAGAGAGCAGCAAATACTGCAGGTGACATGGGCTGAAAAAAAAGCTACTTCATTTATCTTGGAGGATTAATACTTCTGCAACTGAAACATAAATATGATACAGGAAAAGAATTTTGGAACTTGAGTCTTGAGAATGTGCATTTACCTTTCAGGTAACTGAGGAGGTGCCTAACCACTGATATTAGAGGGCCAAAGTATAAGAAGTAATTATCGAGTATGCAAAATAATAATTCTTAAATCAAAGGAGACGCAACCGCTTCTCCTTTTAAGCTGAGGTTGAACTTTACTTTTCCACCTAGGGCCCATTTTAGGAAACTCCCCCGCTTTTTAATTTAATTTTTAAGGTGCGGACTTTTTTCTTCAGATATCGTACATTTGCAGAATCATTCTGCATTATTTGGTCAACTAGACAGTTGTTCAGATAGGAAGCAAGGGTTTGGCTGCAGGACTCTGGTGTGCTAAGGAGGGTACCACATGAAGATTTTTTTGCGTGTATGTGTAAGGTATTGGACAATATAACAAAATGGGATATATTACATGTGCTGTTCCCTAGCCTGGGACTGCGTTCTTCCACACAGAAAAATACGTTGTTTGAAAAAGAAGCCTCTGGAGCTGGCTGTACTAAAGTCTTACTCATTTCAGATGTTCATAAAAAGTTTCAAAGAAGTACATGATGACTGGAAGGTGCGAAGAGGGCAAGGGATATGTCAGAAAACTGTGATTTTATTAGTTGCACACTTACTAGAGGACCAAAGATAGACCAATATCAGATGTTTGAACAATATTATTTTCTCTATTTCTTGCTTACCCCCCCAGATCAAAGTACTTCAGTATCTAAAGGCTCTGTTCAATAAAAACTATATTCCCAGTAAGGCTGCAGCAGGGCTGCGGTCCAAGAAACTTGTTGCTGGTGTGTGTGTGTGTGTTTGTTTTTTTTGTTTGTTTGTTTGTTTTTTTTAGAGAGAGGTCTTTGGTAGTTTTAACAAATTCAAATAAATTTTGAATTACAACGTAAATCAACCTAAAGATTTCTGAATTAAGCACTGACTTAAAAGGGTTAAAATGGTAGCTCCTCTCATTCTCTATCTTAATCTGGATTGAACTGTGATGCTACATTTGGCTATGAGTTGTAGTTAAACTTTGCCTAAACTCTGTCAAAGAAAGGATAAAAATCAAGCTGTTGAAATTACGTATCTTGCAAATTCTGAACTGAATATTCATTTCTTCAGTAAATGTGTGATAACAGCTGGATTCTGTTCAGATGACAATGCACTTTACTTGAGTGTGTTCCTGATGTATTTTAGCTATATATATATTTAGCAATGTACTTTTCTGGTTTTGTTCATAATTAAAATATAAAAATAAATATCAAACTCTATGTGGATGTCATTATTTTACTAGCATAATGTAAAAACTCAGATTATGAAGGTGAAAGGTAAAAATGTTCTTGAATTTTCTATCTACTCGCCACAAAGTATTTTGGGGAAAAAGAAACATTGCATTCTTTATGTTTAAAAGGTGAAATTCTTAGCTTTTTTATACAGCAAAACAATTGCAACCTGATGTGAGATGGGCAACCTGCTTGAGCTGGTGCTGCTTGAGCAGGGGGCTTGGACAAGAGGTCCCCTTTCAACCTCTGCTACTCTCTGATTTTGTTATGATATCAGTAAAAATCTTCAAGGGTTGCATTAGTCAAGACTTTTATCTGTCAAGGTTTGCAGTAGTACAAGAATGTCCCCCTCATAAAAGAAAGAACAAAACCAAAAAAAAAACATCATTAAATCTTATAATTTCTGTGAAGGAAAGGCACCGTTGTATCTTGTGACCAAAAAAAAAAAAAAAACTTCCTCAGCATTAAATTCTTTCCTGCCCTTTAAAGATCAATAGGACTTGCTCTGGAGATTGATATCTACATTACATTTCCTTACTAGATAAACACCTTTCATGACACTTCTCCGGCTATAAATATTCGAGAGAACATCTGCAACTGGTACAGTTTTACTACACTCACTTTTAGGCTGCATTGCTGTTGACAGAACTATTTTAATCTTGCCTCCTTTGGCTTTTTGTTGCTGGCTCCATGACTAGGCACTAGTGCAGCTGGATTGCTCAGCAGGAGCCAGGGATCTGTGTCGCGTCAGAATCAGGATGCTGAGATGTAGATGAGAGAATGGTAGCCTTGTACAGATGCGGTCTAATTTCTGCTAAGTTAAAATGCTTGTGCAAATACAGCCTTATAATGTTAGTTATGCTTCAATCCTCATTTTTTGATCCTTTTGATATTCATCTAGTTATTGCTCTCTATCATTTAAGAGGATAAAGAATGGAAATGTTGCTGTTTTCAAAGCCTCATTTTGCAGGCTCCAAAGATGCATTTAATCTTTGTACCTCCCAGGCCTTCTAAATGATGGATTTTTCATAAATGAAGTTTTTTATATCACTTGTCTGCTCTTCACTTATCTTATGGTCTTAATCTCATCTTTATGCAGAATTCTATCCCTAAATAAAAAAGAATGTAAAATAATTAAAATAGAACTTAGCATTTAAAAAAATTCTTTTCACTGTCCCAACTTTTCTTCTTATATATAAATATATATATACACATATATATAATCTACTCCATTTCAATTAAGAAGGAACTTGCTGAGTGCTGTTGTGTTTTTTTCCTCACCCTTAATGCTATTTTTAATAGCAAGGCTTCATATTAATTATGTGTATTAGTTTTTCTGCACAGGGAAGAGTTTCATGTTACATCATTCAAACAATGGCACACTTCTATATTTAAATTCAATCTGAAGCCCTTCTTGTGGATTTCTGGGCTGAAATATAGCAAAAAGGTTGTTGACTTCAAAAAGTTAGCATTCTCTCACTTGACTCCATTTTGCTATTAAATCTTGCTGTAAGTAACTTAAATGTGGATCAGTTCCCAAACTGGCATGCTTCACTGCACAGAACTGATAAACTGAAAAGCCATCAAGTAACAGAACAGGCTTATTAGACTAGTGGACTTGAAGCCATGAAGCAGCATCTAATACCCATCTCCCGCAAAGTTGGGCTACTGTGAATTCAATAAAAATCTGACATTTT